AGGTCCATAGAGTAATTGTTATTAATCAATTAACGTTAATATTAACTTTGACATTAAGCGTTACCTTCGTTAGGGTTTTGTGAAATTAACGATAATTAATAAAGTAATTAGAGAGTTTTAAGAAATATAGATATTTGTTACGTGAGGCATTTTTAGTTCATCATTTAACATTAAGTGATTTCATAAAAATTTACATGGTATGTGAAAACAGTCTCGAACAGATAAGATAATATTCTTTTAAGACGTACTTAGGCGGGTAGATTCTTTCGGTTGACAATTGTGATTCGAAATAGTTGTATTAAAATATGATGAAATGTCACATCTGTTTTGAATATAATCTATGGTTCTTTAGTAGCGGCACATCCACTAAAAGACATTCCGCCAACTAATTGTCGACGAAGCATGTTTTAACCGTAAAGATAACTTTTAGTGACGATGCATACCACTTAAGAGGTTGCGCTTTGTTGAGTGCATTACAAAAATTAATAGCGGATAGACGTATGTAGATATTTTGTTTTAATCTATATCATTGGGATGGATGTTTGTGAGTACGTATCTTTAGAACGAAATTTTTTAAATTGAAGCGGAGTCGCATGCGACACGTAGTGAATGTTACTTACATTGTATGTAAATCGAATGATGAAGTTTATCTAATAAATATGATCATGCTTAACGCAAAAATTACAAAACAACACAATGAAATATAAGAGTAATTTTCTGACAGCTGTCAAAAAGTCGGTGCAAAGCCGGCCGCCATTGCGGAGCGAGTTTTTTTTTCATAAGTTGTTGGCTGCCAGTAACATATAAAAGACCTCTTTAACGGATACGGTTAATCTGACAGGTCGCGGGATAGCGTCGGATGTTTTGACAGCGCGGCAATTACCTGCCAGATTGTTTGGCGGCCGATTGTGGCTGTGGTTCACATCCTGCGTACAGCCCACGGCCCACGGCGGCGGGGGACAGGCTTACCACAGATAACTAACGAGTTGTAATGTTGGCAATTAACTGAGCATTATCTGTCACGAAACATCAACGAATTGCGTTCCACTTACATTACTACGTGCGATTAAAAAACCGGATTTCTTGCTTTTTAACTTTAATTTCTTTATATAGAAAGTTCTTGTTATTTTGTACTGGAATCAGGTCTTTTAATATTCACAATTTTAAAATAAACTTTACTATTAAAAGCCACAGTTCCAGGCCCGACATCGCACGAAGGCAACTTAAAATTATAATAAAACTGACTTTCGCCCATGACTCCGTCCTTGTGAAATAAAAAACAACAACAAAAGTTAGCACCTAGCTTATGTGTTCTTTACATCTATGCCAAATTTTATCAAAATCCTTTCATTAGTTAGAGCTACAAACTCTAACAAACATTCATCCAAACTTTCCCATCATACTAATATTATAAGTGCGAAAGTTTAGATAGATGGATGGACGTTTGTTAGAGTTTGAAGCCTAAACTGCTGAACAGATCTCAATGAAATTTAGCATACATGTAGAGGATAGTATGGGAGAAGACATAGGGTACTTGGTTTTGTTTTTTTTTAATACCACGCGGATGGAGACGCTGGCGAAAGCTAGTTATTAATATTAGTCAAAAGAGTATATAAATGTCAGCTGTATTACTTTTTCAATGCCCTACAGTAAGCCATTTCAAATAGCTTCCAATGATTATACAAAGCACAAACAACTCCTACGCAACCGCGTCTAGAACCGACGACAAATGCATGTCAGACATTTACAAATACACAATCGAACGTTTCCGAGTGCATCGGGAATCGGGACAGACAGGGTCATTGTAGTACGGACACTACGCTACAGGACTGTATTAGGATAGTCCTATTACGGTATACATTCCGTTTTTTACAGTCAATTTAATAACTCATCACTACAGACACTTTACGCTAAAATAGCTTATTAACTATAATAAGAAATAAATATAATTAAGTGTGCACGCACTAATAGATAAGTATTAATATGCAATTATTTTCATTTGCAATAACAAGTCGTTTTTCTTCGCAACAGAGCTATAAAGATTATTCATGCGTCTAATTAGTACCAATTATAATAACAGCTATAATAAGCGAACTTTCTATATTTTCTTGTCAATTTATTTTGCGTTTATCCCGTTTTACGTCTATATTGTTTGGTCACATTATTCATACTTAATACGGTCGCTGAATGCGCCCACTGTCCGTCTGGGAACCGCGGGTGCGCACTGAAGCGATGCGTTAATGCGCGAACCAAAACTGTTAATTTGCTATATCCGCAATGTAACGTCAAAAATAACTGTTAACGATAAGGTTACAGTGATTTATTTTTAATTTTATACACTGCCAGTTATAATGACATTAAATAAAGTTTATGGTCTGCAGAAAAATACAAGACTTTACAATTATGTATCGCATATTGTTTCTGTTATAAATAATATTAACAATTTTTTGCCCATTAGTGACAATATGCTTTTATGAATTAGCGGACAAACAGATGGCATAAACAAAAATAGAGCAACAGTAGTTTTACAATTTAATTGGCAGATCGTAAATCAAAACATTTGACGATCATAAACCAATTAAAAATAACCAACAGCTGTGCTGCAGATGGATAACGTTTATTTAAGTAAACAGTTTTTTTTTAATAAGTAATTACTGTTTTACTAGCTCTAGCTTTTTTCGCGCGAAATTAAAAAAAAAGTAAGTAGACTATACATATATGTTCTACCGTCCTATGGTCTACTTCTTTGCCAAATATCATCGAGACCCGTTCCGATTCATTCCGAGGAGTTTAGGATACAAACTCTAACAAACATCAATCCATTCATCCAAACTTTCGCATTTAAAATACTAGTAAGAAGTAAGATATTTATGATAAAATGAAAAGCTCAATTTCTGCAACAAAAACACGTCAATTTTCTATCACCTATTTTGCCGTAAAGATGTATAGTAAATAAATTAGGTCAGTCCCAAAATATCCGTAGGTACACATCGTCAAAAGATAATTAGCGTTCCAAATTCACGATAATAATGTGTCAAAAATAACGTTAACGGTAAACAAACACATCAAACATGCTATATAAATTGTCAGTTACATAGAAAACTATTTCAATAACTAAAGTTTACCGAAGATTTCTGTTACAATAGCTACAGAAATATATACCTTCATCTATCTCATTTTATTCGAAAAGCAAGAGATAACGATACGTTTAATATAGTTACTAAATTCATTCAAACTTTCAATCGTAAGCCGTATTTGTTAAATCGATCATAATCAGAATCGATTTCTCGTAATAACGTCCTTGACAACATTAAGAGTAAGGTGGATTTGACGGTACAGAAGACGCATAGGAAGGGGAAATATCCTCTTTATGTCTCCTCCTCCGTCGATTAAGGGTAAGCAAAGCATCTGCAATTGCAGATGTGTATGGGCAGCGGTCCTTCGCCATTGCGCCTTTTCCATATGTCCTTGCTCGTTTTCTACCATGTAATATTAAAAAAAAACACTACTTATTCGTACAAAGTTGAATTGAAAACGCCTTATACATCGACGTAATGGATTATTGCCAACCGTCACCCCACTCTGTCCCCACGTGAGAATAAAAAGTTTCATCCGACCCTCCTTTTAGTCCCACTATTACCAATAAGGTGAAATATGGAACCGTTGTGAAATAAAATAAGTTTTAACCGACCTCATCGCAAATGGTGGGTCGGATGAAACTTTTTATACTCATCTGTTCCCACGCGGGGACAGAGCGGGGTGACGGTTGGGAATAATCCGACATAATATTATTTCTATGAATAAATTTGTACTAGAACATTGCGAAGTACATTTACATATAAGCTACAGCTTAGCACTAGATTCTCGCGTATATATATCCATAACAATATTATCCCATTTTAAAAAACATTACGTTTTATAGTAATTGAGAAAATTTGCCTTTAAGTAAAATGAAAATTCATTTTAAATCTAACTAATACAAATATACTACCATAACTATAAAATTATATTTTTTATTGTTTTAAATTTTCGATTTAAAAACCAAAAAAAAGTGTATTATATAAACTTTTTAAAAATTACTAAATAATTCTGCTGTCTGTAATCTGTTTGGACCATTACTACTAAATCTTAATTTTTTTTAATTAGGAACCACCACCAAAACACCTACAGAAAAACTACTTTTATGCCTATTAAATAAATTATTCTAGCAATTAATAATAATATTAACATTTGATACAGACAACCAATTTATTGTATGTACTCGAATGTTTCACTAAAGGATTTTTTTGTATGAACATATAAGTGCAGTGTATTGCAGATTCTAGGAACTAACACAAGAGTCCTTTATGATGTTAATATAATGCTGCTTATCTGTACTACATTGATATTAAAATGAGAAAATATTTTATAATATATGCCATTTATGGTTATATAATCTTTGAACAAGGCCTAATGCCTAATGGTTTGTTAGTTTAATAAAAAAAAGATCTAAATGCAATTACTATTGATTGTGGAGTTAGTGTGTAGCGAAATTTGTTTAATAATTATGAATAAAAAGGTATCTTTTTTTTAATGTAACATCATGAAAAATCTAATAAAAAAATCAAGATGTTATTGACATAAGAAATATTACTAAATAATGTCATAGACTAAAATGTTCTTCATTATTGTTTTTACCACAATTTCATTAGTTATGTAAACAAACTTAGTTTATGAACACAAATGTGACTTATGTTTTGTCATAAATTAACAATCAAATTATTGCAAATAACTAGAATAAGTGGATGTTGCAAAAACTTTAATAACGCTTTTTATCTCATTGCAAACAAATGTCCTAGTTTTAAAAACGTATTGCAAAACTACATCCTAACTTGATATGACTAAAAATATAAATAGGGGAAGCGAAAACAGTTCAAGGTCACAATATAATTACGACAAAACCTTTTACCGACAATAGATGTATCTATCTCGATAAAAAATATGCAAATATTCAAACTTACTGCAAAACAAAATGAGGAAATCCAACAGAATTTTTCGTATAATCAATCTCGAATCACGGTCCATTGTAGAAGAATGATTACGGGAATTTCTTTCCATTATAAAACACAGGAATAAAGTAAAAATCCGGAGAACCACTCTTTCTAAACGTCAAACATGTAAACGCGAATAAAACGAACTGTCAATTGACAACACAAGACACGTCAAACACGAAGCGCATGCGCGCGCCGACTGTTGCCGGGAAAAACGCACGCCGTGTTTACGAAGTACGCTAGAGTTATCGATAAAATACGCGAAGAAATAAATTCTAATAAAACGACAGATTAAACAATCAATTAAGCAAATATGTTATAAAAAAAACTTAAAGTAACTTCAAATAGTGATTACAATGTTAACAGTTTAATATTTATGATGAAAATGTTGTAATAATTATTTTGAATAGGAATAGCATATTATAATTATTGTTAAGGTTAAGATTCATAACATAGCATTATTGTATATGTGCTATTGTTTTTTTTAATGAATAATAATGAAACAGGTGTAGTTTTCAATGTCAAGTGCATTTGATTAAGTTCGCAATTACTGAGTCAGTGCTTACGAAACAATTTTAGACTAACAAATAGCAATTAAAAATATACATCATTATGTAATTTATTAATGACTGACACATTTTGTAATAACACGTAAGTAATTATTAGATTGTTACATAGTAAATCTATAATTAAAATTGTATAATGAATCTACTTTGACGACTGGCAGGACATTAAAATACTTCCATTAATAATTTCAAACAGAAATTAGTAAATATGTGTAGTCATTCTAATCCTGTGTGAATGTGTGACCACAAGAATGTAGGATAAATTAACTCGTAACTGAGAAGGAAACCATAAAAATATTAGTTCCCGATATTAAATAGGTTAGTTTAATTTTGAAACGTGAACACAATAACGCATGAGTTGTTCCCGCGCACCCATCGAATTATCCACCGTGAAGGTTTGACACGACAGTAGGGGTTTTGTTTTTTTTTTAACTCGTAAGAGGCAAAGGAATGCCGACTCAACTGTAATCGGTAGCTATAGAAATGACACCTGTGGATATTTTTTTAAATCTCTGTTGACATAAAATGTTGCTTCTTTGTCGAACAAACTTTTTTTAGATACATTACCTGCTTCTTTGAAATAGAACCAATTAAATGTGACAGGCAACACCAGTTGGTTTGTTTTTGGGAATTTTAATCAGGTTAGTTGATTTATCAAGATATTGAATAACTTTGTTAAAAAGGTTTTTTTTTTTTAAATCTAAAACCAAGATACTTTAAATAGCTTCATATGACTTTAGTACTGTAATACCCACAACACAATTGTTCCTGTAAAATACTATAGCAGAAAGTTAATTAACTTACTAAAGATTGTAAGCAAAATCGTTTAAACCTATTGACAGAAGAGTGTATTTTGTAAGCATAATAAAAAATAGCTCAGGAATTGTAATTAATCAGACAAACTGAAGTATGGACGAAAACATCGTTATTTGCTTCTTCTAAACTTTCTTGACGGTGGTAATTACAGCTGAAATTGTAATGGTTTTCATTATTATTCTTTTTACAAATACTAAATTAGTAGCTATGCCATCTATTGTTTTAAAATAAAAGCACGTGTCTTTGAGATAGACGCTGTCGTAGATTAAAAAAACTGCCATCTGTACGTAATATTTAGAAACAACATGCGCAACACTCTTTTACTTCTTGCTAATAGATGGCGCATAAATCGCAAAGCTTCGAAGATTAAACAGTTCTCAATGTTTTAACTACTCTACGCTAGATGGCTCTGAAACTTCGTAATTCAAACTACGTTTTTTCAGACATTTTTTCTTGTTTCTATTATTTTTATTTTTAACAATTTAAATTGTAATTAAATACCTTTTTTTGGTTGATCTGTCATCAACTTGCCCTTAATCTGTGTTATCCAAAAATCATGTTATATGATATTCCCAGTTAAAGTTGAGGAAATATTTTCCCCAGGTTTTTAGCCGCCGAATGTCCATTTGGTTCTGTTTCGGTGGACGCCAATTGAAGAAAAAAATAGATCAAAGTTAGTTAACCTATTATCTACCTGCAAATAGCTCAATAATAACCAAGGAGTTTCTATACTTACTATCTATATTATAAGCTGGCAACTCTCGATGGATAGGATAATCCGTCGCATCCCGCGCTTATCTTTAAAATGGAAATGTTTGCGCGCGGAGTTAGCTACTGCGAGCTAAGACGAGCTGCTAAGAGGCTTACCTCCTCATGTTTATATTCCCCTGGTACCATTCCTGGTAACAAGTTACATTGGATTACACTTTGTTAGTTGTAAGTTGCTTGTAGCTTCGGCTTCGTATATCTTACTAATATTATAAATGGAAAATTTTAAATAGATGGATAGATGTTAGAATTTGTTTTCTTAGTATAGCCTATACTGCTAAACGGATCTCGATGATATTTCATCTCATTTTTTTATGTTATAAAGGTGGCAAACGAGCAAGCGGCCACCTGAATCCGCCGAAATGGCGAAGCGACCGCTGCCCCTAGACATCCGCTAATACAAATTCGTTACCTCCCCTTAATGGACAGAGGAGTAGAAGCACAGAAAGAGGATATTTCTCCTTCCCAAGCGGCTCCTCCGCCATCAAAACCACTTTACCTTCTCACCCTTTCCTCTTAAAAAAAGCGGAAAGGAAAAGTGACTTAAATTAGGATCCCAGCACCACACTCATCAGTCGAAACGCGGAATTGCTCGCACGTCACGCCTGTCTTCTGCGTGGTAGTGGCATGCCACCGATCTTAAAGCGGGCTCTACCACTGTTTAATGTTAAATCTATGTGCTATGTACGATATTCATGGTCTTCCGCTATGTCTTTTCCTTTCCATAATTCTTGTTACGGCTCGTAGTGTCCTATGAGACGCCTCAGCATTTTCCTCTTTTATTTTTAATTATAATCACAATACCAATATGTTTCTCCGCAGTGAAAGTCAACAGTTTACTTTTTAAACCATACACATTTTGGAATACACAATTATTGTCTGTACACTATAAAAAAAAACAAACGACTTAATTAAGTGCAGTTAAAAAATTAACCCAATTACAAAAAATACTGAGCATAAGAGTCACAGTCTTTAGCTCACAACAGCGTAGACATCTCGGGTTTGCGTAAGAAAAGCCCGCCATAGACACTCCACTCAGTTCTAACTGTTCAGTTAAAATTGTGCGTGTGTAAGCAACATTAACTGTCAGTTGAACTGTTCAGGGCGTCTGTATGAAGCTGAACTGTAAGTACTAAGTCCTTGTCGCCCTAGCGCGCATTGTGCGTCCCCCACGGCTCTATTGTCCCACATCCCAGCTTTGTTACTAATTAAATGTATACAAAGCGGTAATCTTTTGTTAAAGCGATGTCTTGTAGCTGACGACGGTAATTCTACTATAGGTCAATGACCTTATCTACAACCGAAAATACTTCAAACACTCCGTAAAGAATGTATACAAAAACCAGTATAAAAACAAGTTCTGTATGTACTAATAATCAATTGTTATGTGGGTAGTTAACTGGATTTTTTTAGTAAGGTTCCGATAAAGGTTTAATTCTATTTAACATGCTACTTCCTATTATAATACATCCAGTAAAAAATAACAGAATTTAAAAGAAAAAATACAACTTTAACAACGAGCCAGCTACAAAATATACGCTTCAGTAAAGTAAGAAAGTGAAAAAGTAAAAAAAACCGTACGACTAGCGGCCGACAACAATCGGCTCGGAAAATTTTCGTAGCAACAAACAAACCGAACAGAAATTCCTTCATTACGGCCGACAATGCCCGCGCAGCGGCTACATACAAATAACTCGCAGCGTCCAATTTAAATAACAGCCCAGCCTGAAAAACAACCCGTAACCGAAGTTGGGAATAAATTAGCAGCCTCCCCTCCCCTTCCCCCGTCCCTGCCCCGCGCGCCCCTACCCCGGACACCCCGTCGCTACCCCAATGTGTACATTGTGCAAAATATTATTTGCCTTGCCAGACAATAATAGGATCTAATGCCACGCCCTGACATGTTAGCTTTGGGCGGCTCCGCCCAAACTGAACCACTCGATGATTGGTTCAGGTGTCGCTCCGTCCCGCTCGCACGCGTTGATCGTCTCGCTCGCGCGCGTAGCTTTTCCCTCGACGCCCGAGGGGTAAATTGTTTTGGTAGGCGACACACACGAGGGTGTCCCGAGGCCGTTCTCGGGCCATCTCGTCCGCGGAATATATTTTTTACGCGCGTTTTATTTGAAGACGTCCGCGTCTCCACCTGAACGTAGACGCGATGTGTCACAATTCGTTTTATGAGATTTTTTTTCAATAACGACGAATCCTTTATTCACCTTCGAGGGATTATAGGATCGCGTTACCCGCGCACCTCCCTAAACACTTTCCCCTTTGCTTCGCCGTTTTGTTACGTTACATACACGTTTATATTATACGTACGCCGTCTTTTTGAGCAATGTACGCTTGGAAAATATTTCATGTCACTTTCACATGAGAATCTAAGGAAAATTTTCCAAGATTGAATAATCTTGGTACTTACTATTAAATCTCTTACATTAGTTATTACTTGCTTCCAAATATGGTTATATTGCTGTTGAAATAGATCTGACTTTGTCAATCTTTATCAGTATGTATTTATAAATTAAAAGGCAATTTAAATAAATTCATTATTAAGAAGTAAATTGAATGACAAAGTAAATACAAAAGCCGAAGCACAAAATAAATACCGAGACAAAGTTAAATCGATAAGCAGCGCGCGGTCTAATAATTATTATTAGTCGACGGCCTGAAATTCATGCACAAAGCTCCGAGCCGCAGTAATAATAACGACAATTGTTGTGTTTACTGGCACGTGAACTGCGGGGGGAG